TTATTAGAAATGAAACATTGGACCAACAAAGCGAGTCTATTGTCTGTTTCTCTCTCTCAGAGCTACGCCTGCCTCAGCAGAGTTCGTTCTCAGCTTCAGTCTCCGTCAGCTAAACTGCTCCAGGCAGAAAACCCGGTTCAGTTCTACGAGCGATCCGTTTACTCAGACAGGTAAGCTGGAATCAGAACATGGAATGTGTGGCAGTGGTTCTGCCAGGTCCTGGATTGGGTCTGAGGTTCGATTCTGTTGCCTGTCAGGTTGGTGTTTGCATCCAGCCTGTTTGAGAGCGGCGACCTGCTGGAGACGGAGTGGAGCGTCTACCAGGACTGGCACAGCTGGCTGCTGAAGCAGTTCGAGGCCGACATCGCACTGGACGGCATCATCTACCTCAGAGCCCCCCCAAAGGTAGCCACGCCCCCTCCTCCAACCATGAGTTCCACTTAGAGCCCAGGTTCCCCTCTGCCTGCAGTTAGAACAGCAACAAAAAGTCTCCCTGATTCTCAGAGCTGGCTGACCTCTGACCTCAGCTCTGTGTTGATGTTTTGCAGCGCTGCATGCAGCGGCTGCTGCACCGCGGCCGCGAGGAGGAGCAGGGCGTTCCTCTGGAGTACCTGGAGCAGCTACACCTCAAACACGAGGCGTGGCTCTACCACAGGAACCTCAGGTGAGACAGACGCTCGGGTGATGATGACGGCGCCACCTTCAGCATGCCACTCACTCATGTCTCTGTCTTCAGTATGGACTTTGAGTACCTCCAAGACCTTCCTGTCTTGGTTCTGGATGTGGATAAAGACTTCCAGAACGATCCGATCAAGCAGGAGGACATCCTAGAGAAGGTGAGCTTCTCCCTAAGGCTCCTGCACCATTTCTTCTTCATCAGCTGTTTTAATGACATGTTTTAACTTGCAGGTCAAAGACTTCCTCACCCTGTTGTGAAGCTCTTCCAATCAGAGCTCAGAGCGTCAGCATCCAGGCTCCTGATTGGTCATCAGCTCTGGGTTTTTTGTAAAGTTAAATTTTTTTATTTTTGTATTTGGAGAGAAAAAAAGTCCTGTGTGTGTGTGTATAGACAATGGTGTGATCTTTTTTTTTTTTTTTCTACATGCCAGCTCCTTCGGGTTTCTTCTGCTCTTAACTGCACGACACGTTCGAGCAGAACGAGTCGTGATGCTTTCAGGGTCACAGCTAGCTTCTGTAAATAAATGAAATCTGACCCAAACTGTGAGCTGACTCTTTTATTTGTTCTAGTTCTATTGAACCCACAACTGGACCCCCTCTTTGCTGGTTTATAAATGAGAATAGGCAGTTGTTGTATCCATGGCAACACAGTGACTCGCCATGTGCATGGCTGTAGCTCTATGGTGCAGGGTAATGTAAAATCAGGCATGCCCCTTACTTAAAACAAATGTATATGGTCTTTTCATATACCTAACAAATGAGTGTCTCCATGGCGACGGGGTCAAACCGCTCCTCCAATAAAGGGAAACTCTGTGTTGCCTTAACCACTGCAGCGGAAAGTGGGACAGTATATGACCCAGGTTTAAATTTTCACTCATGCCATGTTAAAGATCCACAGACTCTGCTAAGTCATCATGAATGAGTCGGACTCACCGAGGCCATTTAAAACCAACACCTGTTTCAGCAGGACCAGCCCCATTTAAACCCAATCAGAATCATGATGCATTCTACACCTAATAAGCCTGAGAGTGGAACCCAGGCAGAACATCCATGGAAGTTCTGATTTATGGCTGCAGCTGGACATCCTGTCTAAAATTCAGATTCTTTCTATCTGGCCTGGAAGGTCGTTGAGAACAGCTGAAAGAAAAGATTCTGAGTCTTTAGTCTCAGCCTTGGAGGGAAGCGGGAGCGCCATCATCCTGTGGAACTTGCTAAGGTGGTTCATCTGAGAAGGCCCCCCCTCCTGGTATCACTGGGATAAGACACCCATACAGAACCAGTTAGTTCACCTGTCTGCAGGTTACCCCCACTGATCTCTATTCACTTCATTGCTTATAACCTGAAAAATGTGAAGCCACTGGCTGCCATCTTGATACTCTCCCCTCCCACTGAGATGCGCAATAATTATGCCTACATGTGTAGCATTTGGCTGCAAAAACAAGCAGTTTGCCGGGTGTGGGAAGACATCTCACAGGTTATTTTTACATTCAGTGGATGTAGTAACCAATAAAATTCATATGTACGCTAATGTATCCTGTTTATGTCGCGTAACATTGGTCTGGCTATCTCAGGCCGACTTAAAGGCATAGCCTGAGTTCGCCATCGACGTGTCTTATGTTAGAAAATAGAAAGTAGAGTAAATAGAAAATAATTCACCGTGAAATGTCAATGCTGTATTTCTTTATTAAGTGGGTAATGCTCTCATTTTTTGTAGTTTCTCGTTTGAAAAAGCCATGTGACGAAACATTGTATCTTATACTGATGGGGGGGGGAAAGCAATACAAATATTTTTAAAAGCTAATAAACAGACAGCACAAAAGTATATGACAATATGAAGTTTGCAAATAGGAAAATACTACAGCATTAACAGACATGTACTTGTAATTCAATCTTGATGTGAAATCTAGGAATTATATATAATATGTATTCCAAAAAAGTTAAAAAAATAAAAATAAAAAAAAACAATCAACTGGACTTTGTTTCCAAGTTTGAAGACAATTCGCTTTTTCAATTCAAAATGTCAGGAATAGCGTTGAGTTTGAATCTTTATACAGTAGCCCAACAACGCCTTGTTTTGCTTAGAAAACAGGCAAATTAAAATGGACAAACGGGTCCACCCCTTTGTAATGGGGTTGTTTGGCTTCTTTGCTAGTTTGCAATACCTGATACCTGTCTGTGTCTCTGAAAGGGGGTTGTTAAATGGAAGAAGTGCGACCTCCTCGGGACAACACTCTGCGGTACATCTACACCCACTGCTCCCTATTTATTCACTGGATTGCTGATTTCCCATTGGTAGTTCGGGGTTGAAGTGAAGCCACCGGCCACCATATTGATACTCCCTAGTTAGACCAGTCACAGTGTAAACAATATGTACGTGACAGCATAGATGATTTTCTCATTTTCAGGGGGACTTAGGACTTTTAAAATAAAAATAAATTCATCACCTTGACACACTCTCCGTTTCATAGCATAAGTATATTAATTTAGAAAAATAGGAACATCACATCGCATAGTCAGTGTGAAGTTAATGAAGTCTATAAATCATGTAATATAACATATTATACAAATCCCTCACAACAAAATGAATGTGCTAATGAAACACAATAAAACAGATGTACCAAAAGTGCTAAATTGATGAGGTACATGTAATATACATATATTGATGACATTTTTGTGGTAATTACATATTACATGTAATTTTAATATTTCACATCAAGTCTGAATTACAAGTACAAGTCTGTTAAGGCTACAGTATTTTCCTATTTGCAAATTGTGCATACATGATGCCATATACCTTTATGCTCTGTCTATATATTAGCCTGTTTGAGTTGCTTTTTTTTCCGTCAGAATATAACATGCATTATATTTCAGCACATTGCTTTTACAAATGAAATTTACAAAAAAACACTATAAAACAACAGCATTATCCACTTAATAATTACTATAATTCCATTTACCAGTAAATTACTTGCTATTTACTCTACTTTCTATTTTCTAACATTAGACACAATGTCGATGGCGAACTCAGTCAATGTCTTGGAGCTGGTCTGAGATAGCCAGACTAATGTTATACTATACTATAGGATACATCAGCGCATATATGGATTTACTTGAGTACATTCACTGACTGTGAAATTTCCTGTGAAACGTCTTTTCAGAGCTGGCAAACTGCTAGATTTTGCAGCCAAATGCTCACCTGTCTGCAGGTTACCTGCCCCTCTCACCTGTAAGCTCACCTGTCGGTAGCTTACTTGCTCCTCTCACCTGTTAGTTCACCTGTCTGCAGGTTACCTGCCCCTCTCACCTGTAAGCTCACCTGTCGGTAGCTTACTTGCTCCTCTCACCTGTTAGTTCACCTGTCTGCAGGTTACCTGCCCCTCTCACCTGTAAGCTCACCTGTCGGTAGCTTACTTGCCCCTCTCACCTGTTAGCTCACCTGTCTAAAGGTTACCTGCTCCTCTCACCTGTTAGCTCACATGTTTGCAGGTTACCTGCACATCTCACCCTTTAGCTGACCTGTCTGCAGGTTACCTGCACATCTCACCCGTTTGCTCATCTGTCTGCAGGTTACCTGCCCGTCTCACCCGTTAGTTCATCTGTCTGCAGGTTATCTGCCCATCTCACCAATTAGCTCACCTGTCTGCAGGTTACCTGCCCGTCTCACCCGTTAGCTCATCTGTCTGCAGGTTATCTGCCCGTCTTACCCGTTAGTTCATCTGTCTGCAGGTTATCTGCCCATCTCACCAATTAGCTCACCTGTCTGCAGGTTACCTGCCCGTCTCACCCGTTAGCTCATTTGTCTGCAGGTTACCTGCCCGTCTCACCCGTTTGCTCATCTGTCTGCAGGTTACCTGCCCGTCTCACCCGTTAGCTCATCTGTCTGCAGGTTATCTGCCCGTCTTACCCGTTAGCTCATCTGTCTGCAGGTTACCTGTGTCTCACCCGTTAGATCACCTGTTTGCAGGTTACCTGCAAGTCTCACCCGTTAGCTCATCTTTCTACAGGTTACCTGCCTATTTCACATATTAGCTCACCTGTCTGCAGGTAAGCAGTTTTAAAAGCAATGCCTGAGGAGCACCAGCTCTAGGTGACCCTTCAGCAGCTTCCTACTTGTATCTGACCTGCCACGTCCTCATTGGCTGAGGGTTCTTTGCTTGTCTTATCACCATGTTACATGAGCTCTAAGGTCCAGCTGTCTGAGACCAGCTGAGATGTTTGTTGTCTGAGACTCTGTCGCATGAACGTGTCCACAGAAGAACTCAGTGAGGAGCAAAGTCAGGAAAACAAACATATTTGACACTTGGAGAAGGAGGTCAGGGACACTAGGACAGGACCGGCTGGAACTCGTACAGTCTGACACAATATTGAGGCGCTTTCAGGTTTTCTGCCCAGATCAGCACAGAGTAAAGCAGGTTGTATTTGATGGAAGATTAACTTTCAGGAGACTCATTGATCTGGAGAAGATCAGGAACAGGATAGCTTCTGGTTTTCTCCTTTCAATCATTAATGTTCAACAGGCTTTCCTCTGCTGCTCTCCACACCCCTAAACTCCCTCCGTTCTCTCTGTCCGGTCTGTCCAGTTGCCCAGCAGCCTTCAGACTGTAAGTACAGCCAGAAAATCCTCTTTTCTCTTGTTTTCTGTAATCCTTCAGGAATTCTCAGCAGTCTGAGCTCCAATATTTCAGGTTATAGCTGAGCCCAGCAGCTGCAGAAAGGTTCCTCCTTGAGGGGGACAAAGGGGTTAATGTGGGTCAGGTTGGGCAGTGTGGGGGTCTTTGGAGGCAGAGGGATCAATATGCATTCTTGATGCTGAGTTTTGATTTGATGTCTTGCTATGATGGAGCTAAGGTCCTGAACTCTCCAGAACACTCTGGTCCTTCCTCTTCTCACTGAGATGGGGTTCACAGACCTGCTAGAAGAGGTGAGTGAGGCTTCTTCCTCTGCAGTAATCGTGGGATCCATCCAGGTGTGTAAAATAGAGTTGCTGTTGTCTGCTTGCCATGGCAAGGTGGGCGGTTTTGGCAGGTACCAGTGGATCCATGTCACCCTAATCAGTTTACCCGGTCTGATGATGGCGAGTCAGAACCTACTGAACAACTTTGTCTCAGGAGTCCCAACCCATCACTGCAACCCTGTCACCAATCAGAGCCTGGACGACCTGGCGTTCTCCTTCCAGGTAACCTAACCTGGACTGTGAGGCTACCTGAGAGCAGATGCTGCACTGTGATTGGCAGTCCAATAATGGGCCCTAATTGGCTGTTTCAGGTGGACAAGCAGCAGCTGCTGAAAGTCTTTATTCCTCCAGATCCTTCAGGAAATAGACTTGACCGCTGCAGGAGGTAACAAGTTCTTTCTTTGTGCTTCTTGATTGTGACAAAGACACTTCTGAGATCACCTCCTGTGTTACCTCAGGTATGTGGAGCCTCAGTGGCATCTGTTGCACCTGAACGGCTCTTTGAATGTCAGCCAGCTCCAGACTGAAGGATGTGTTGACGGATGGAGCTTCGACCAATCAGAGTTTTCTGCAACCACCGTCTCCGAGGTAACATCAGATCAGTGGGAGAAGACGTGTGAATATTTGGTCTGCGACATGAAGAGGAGATTTGAGGGTGTGATCCAAGGGTGTAACTTTGTTAAGAAAGTTAGTGGGGACACTCAAGTGGTGGCTGATGGACCTAAAGTTACTCGACCTGAACACTGATAAGGTTTTTGTATTTTCCCAAAACAACCTCAAACATATATTTATTGAATCCTTTCCTGAGTAACAGATGAGTACCAAAATGCACTGATATTTATATTTATAGATAGATAGAGAGATGCCTTTTAGTGCAATATATTTGTATATAGGGCCCAAAAACATCTATGTATAAAAAATTTAAGAATAACAGCCGATTGCGATGCAAAAATTGATATATCATGCATCTCTAGAATGTACAATTTAAATTCCATCCATCCAGAAGAATATGGATATGTTGCATCTTTTCTTGTAAACTTTCTGGTAAACTTGGAGATATTTTATTGCATGTTTCATATCCCAGTAAATCTGTTTCACCTTTAATCTGCAGCTCTCCTTATCTCTCTCTATGCTCTGTTTAAAAAGATTTTTGAACCTCTTTACTAATATAATACTAGAAACAAAATTTAATTATATATAGAAGCTCTGCAGTCTGATTATGTCTGTAAAATAAGAAAACGTGTTAATTTTAACCTGGTCCTCTGAGAAGCCAAGCTTTTTTAACTAGTAAAGAAGAACATTTAAACTGTTTTTTCCCAAGCTTCTTGCATTATAATAGTAACTTGTGTAGTAATATAATATATATTACAGTCTTGAGCCTTTATTTAGCTGGAACAACTCTGTATGTCCAACGAACAGATTTTTGAGTGGCATCTCTAATTTATCTAACAGACCCATCTGCTAACTTTTAATGAAACATCTATCCAAGTAGCTGCTGGTTAATGCTGCTGTGTGTCTCTCCTCCTCCATGTAGCTATTATATGCGCAGCGAATGCAGATAATATTATGTCTCAAAGCAACAGATCCGATGATGTTACACCGAGAGTCGGGACACGGGAGCAGCGTGAGAGAGGAAAAAAAACACACTCAAAACGTTCTGAACACAGATGGCTGCACCCAACATCTGTTAAATTTGGCTAAAGTAGATGAGTAGAAAGGGGAAAAAAAGCGGAAATTATTGGTGGGGACTGTCCCCACCCGTCCTTCAGAAAGTTACGCCTGTGCTGCGGTCCATACCTGCTTCCTGGCCTCATGCGGTGTTTCTCTAGCTAAAACCTGATAGTCCCATTTCTGATTAATCTGTTCAATTTCTACTTTCTGGACTGAATGTTGCAAATGTTGCTTCGTGCTTAAGACCTGCTTAGGATGTTACCACTCAACAAACCTCCTCTTTCTCCTCCCGACTCCCTCAGTGGGACCTGGTCTGTTCAATGCGTCCCCTCAAACAGATGATCCAGACCATCTATATGGGTGGAGTATTAGCAGGAGCCATCATTTATGGTGGCCTATCTGACAGGTAAGACTCACCTGTTCAAACCTTTATATCAGTTGAAGGTACCTGAAAGCTCAAACTCCCTGTCTCTCAGGTTTGGAAGGAAGACTGTCCTTATATGGTCCTATCTACAGCTGGCGGTGCTGGGTTGTAGCGCTGCCCTTTCTCCTTCATACACAGCCTACTGTATCTTCAGGGCCCTGAGCGGGATGGCAGTGTCTGGAATCATCCTCAATGGAGTCTCCCTCAGTAAACATTTAATGTTTTTACACATCTCGAATTTCGGGTCCCAGCTGTACCGCACCTTTGAAACCAGAACCTATGCAGAACTTTCATCTGTGAATCTTTTTCTTTTTTCCCTCCAGTTTTTATTGCCATTACACTGTCACAAGAGCGATGAAATGAACTCTCTGCATTTAACCCATCCCCTTGGGGGGTTTGGGGTGGGCAGTGTGGTATTAAGGCTGATTTATACTCACAAACAGGGTTGTCTGCAGTGAATGCAAATGTGCCCCCGTCCCTTCCGCAGACACTTTGCTGCATCGCTTCGAAATTGCAGGTGGCCGCAGACAGGAGGTATCTGAATGGTCAAATCTACATCCGCCCTACACAGTGCATATTTGCTGTTTGGTACTTACCAGCTTGTTTTGTTTGTATGACCGCCATTGCAGAAAATGACTCGTGAACTCGGCTGTATCTAGACAGCTAGTTCGAGATTGTCCCTCTTGCGTTGTGGCATGGAAGCTCACTGTGACAAACTGCTGCAGGAGGATAACCTGCCCTTAAAGGGTCTTTAATTAGGGACCCACAGTGGCAGTCTGTGGGAGTGGGGCTCGAACTCAGAACCTCAGGATTCCAATCTCCTAACTACTAGGACGCCACTCCCCCAAATCTTGGGTCTAGAACTTTACATTTTGTTGTGTCACTTTAAAGGCAGCACAGCAAAACAAAGCAGAGTGAGAACTTTTGTCTACCACCATGTCAGCACCATTCAGGTCCGTTATTCAGCTAAAATAACAGTGGCCAATAGATATGTGGGTCAGAACTTCATCACTGACCTTCAGCCAACCTCTGGATCCTCCATTATAATGGATCAGTGATAATATCGTATCTGTTCTGGTTCCTTTTTAAAATGTAAATTATCGTTAGGAAAGTTGGACTTTTCTGTTGCATAAAATGATAAAAAAAAATCATCCTTTATTTGTTTTCTCTCTCACGTTGATGCTGTTTACATGTAAAGCTCTCACTGTCTTACTCTGTGTCCTCAGAGGTGGAGTGGATCCCTACCAAAACGAGGACAGTAGTGGGAACGCTCACCTCCTTCTTCTTCACCTTTGGTCAGATGATCTTGGCAGGCCTTGCCTATTGGCTGAGAGACTGGAGGAAGCTACAGGTGGTCGTTTGTGCTCCTCAGTTCTTGTTTTTTGCCTACAGCTGGTCAGTGCAACCTCAGAACCTTCTCTGATGGGTCAGGAGTTTCGTCGTTCTCTTTCGATTAGTCAGAGCATTCATGATTTCTCTCTGACTGGTCAGGTGGTATGCAGAGTCAGCTCGTTGGTTGGTGCTAAACCGTCAGTCTGAGAAGGCCTTGAAGAGTCTCCACAGAGTTGCTCGGATCAATCAGAAACCAGAGATCATCAACAAACTGACCCTGGAGGTAACTTCTCAGTACATGAACAGGTGTTGTCTGACCAATCACAGTCTGACTTTGGTACCATGTGACTGCAGGTTCTGAAGTCTCACATGAGCAAAGAGATTGAATCAAGTCGGTCATCGTTTACAGCCGTTGATCTGCTGAAAACCAGGCGGATAAGACGCATCTCCATCTGTCTGGTCGCTGTCTGGTCAGAACATTACCTCTTTTACTTGTGTCCTGTCTTCAGGAAGTGATGTAATTTCTGTTGGGGTTAGGGATCTTTACCTGTGTAGGTGCTGACCCTTACTGGTGCTGACCCCTGTCTGCAGGTTCTCCACCAGTTTTGCATATTATGGTTTGGCAATGGACCTGCAGAAGTTTGGGGTGAGTTCTCTGGTTACCTGTCTATCCTCTGACTGAACCGAGTTCTGGCATCCAGTAGTGTCCTGTAATGATCTGTGTTCTGATTGGCTGTGGGTCATTCCAGGTGAGTATTTACCTGATGCAGATCATCTTTGGAGCTGTGGATATCCCTGCCAAATTCATGGCTCTGGGCCTGCTCAGTTACCTGGGGCGACGGGTGTCTCAAGTGTTGTGTCTCTTCCTGTCGGCCCTCATCATCTTCGCCAACATCTTTGTCCCTACAGGTATTGACTTTCTGGTTCAGGTGTTATCTTAAATCCGGCCCCTCTTCAGAGTCTCTCCCTGATCCCAGATCACATCTCTAAACCACATTTTTTATTAAATTCTATTTGCAATCTAGGTTTCCCCAGTGAGTCTGATGCTGTGTTGCATGTTTCTAATTCTGACCCATTTCAGGTCCTAGGTCTGAAAATGACTCATCTTGAATCTCTAATCCTTATTTAAATGCTGTGTTAAATTCTGACATGATCCTGATGATCTCTGACCATATTGTTCTGACCCAGGCCTTTTCTGGTCCTATTTGTGATCTGACCCCGGTCTTGGTTCTGACAGTGATTCATTGAGTGATTTGATTTTGATTTGAGTCAAAGACAATTTTATCCTGATCCAGTCTGATTCTAAAATCTGTAGAGATGCAGACCCTAAGAACCACCTTGGCTTGTCTGGGTAAAGCCTTCACTTCGGCCTCCTTCACCACCGTCTACCTTTACACTGGAGAGCTTTATCCCACCGTCATCAGGTGAGTCCAATTGGGCTTAGTTCTGTAGAGATGATCAGAACATATAAAGGGGTGTTGTATTTTCAGGCAGACAGGAATGGGCTTTGTCTCCATGATGGCGAGGATTGGCAGCATGGCGGCCCCTGCAGTCCTGATCCTGGACGAGGTAATCTGGTACAAACAGAATCAGAAAAAAAAGTGTTCATTGTGGATTCTGTGATGAATTGATGAGGAGTAGCGACTCCTACAGGACTTTCAGTAATAATGCAGCACTACTTTAACTACTTATTTGACAGTCCAGTTCAGTCTACAGAATTCAATGTGTTAACTTTTTCTGCAGTTATATTGGGTTCAGTTCAGTCCACAGGTTTTTACAGGTCTGATTCATGAAGAGGTGCATCTGGTCCAACTCAGTCCAAAGAGTTCACCAGGTCAGATTCCTCAGAGGTTACATTAAGTCCAATGTAATCCACAAGGTTTAATAGATCTGATTTGTCTGAAGTCATTTCAGCTTTAATTCAGCTTGCAAGATTCAACAAGTCTAAGGCATTGATATCAGGTCCAACTAAATCCACAGGAATCAAACAGTCCAAGTAATTTTAACAGTGTCAACAGGTCTAGCCATCAGCTGCTACATAAAGGCCAGTTCAGTCCACAGAGTTCAACAGGTCCAATTTGTCTGGTGTCCCTTTAGGTCCAATCAGTCATCAGTAGGATGATTATCTTGGGAAGTTAATTGTATCTAATTAATTCAAGCATTAATCAACTAAAAGGTTCAGTTAATTAAGTGAGTGGGTTTGGAAATCTATCCTGTCATAATAATATCAACAACACTCTCTTTATGGAGTAAAGTCCAATTGAACTTTTCTGCTAAGCTCTTCAATGATTCATTTATTTTGGACTAATGAACTCCCTGTATATATGATCATTATCACATCATCTACATAGTAACTTATCCAAAAATGTTGTTGACTGAATAAATGATTTCCCCAGGTTTTTCCTGCACTACCCAGTATAATCTATGGGGGCGCTGCAGTGCTGGCTAGTGGCTTTGCCTGCTTCCTGCCAGAGACACTCAACAAGCCGCTGCCTGATACCATTGAAGATGTGGAGGAAAGCAGGTGAGCTGCTGACCCAAAGCATTGAGTTGCTCCTCAGGTATTTTTTGCTGTAATCCAATGGTGGCTGGATGGATGGGAGATGCAGGAAAATTCTGGGAACTACTGGACTAGAGCAACTATTCAGGATCTTTGAAGGAGAGGACTACTTTCTGTTTCTAGAGAACGTTGATAAGATTGAGGCATATACAGTAGTAGCCATTCAAAATTTTCCCACTTTCCTTGATGGGCCCTTGGCTGGTCCCCTACAACTCCTTTTTAAACATCAATATTTCTACTAAAATATTCTTTCTGTCATGATTTGTGGACATTAAGGTCTAAAGAGAAGCGTCATCTTCTGGTCAGACCCTGTAATTTAATGAAAGAGTGGAGTCAGAGTAAGAAAATATGCAAGAGGGGTCCACTCCAGTAGCTGGAAGTTGGAGGGGATTTTGCTGGGAGTTGGAGGGAGGTGGGCTGCCATTCAGCTGGCTTTTGGCTGGGAAGGGCTATTTTGAATGGCTGCTACTGTATGATGCTCATTGGTTAAAGAGACAAAGGTAGGAGGGTCTTCATTACACAGATTGACACCCATGGGCTGGGTCTGAATGTCCGCTCTAATCACTATTTAGGGCACTATATAGTGGTCACGCCTTTTTAAATGAGTGAACATCTTGGGGATGAACTCAATCTAGTGGACTCAAAATTTCCAACAATGCACCTTGAAGTGTGGTTAGTGGTCACTAACCAAGCAGATATATCCCGGAATGCTTCGCAAGAGCTCTCCTCATAAAGCATCATGAGATACGTTGTGACAGCGCCCCGCTGTCGGGTAGCAACAGCAAATAACAAAAGATGGTGCATGCACCATGCGCCAAGGCGGAGTTATGTGACCAACGAGGAGCCAAAAGTTGTAATCATCTGTACAAACGGTCAGTTAACTGAGTTCACTATAAAGTCCACAATATATTCCCGCCTTTATATAGTGATTGAGGGATCTAGTGGTTAGGGCAGACGTTCAGACACAGACATAAATATCCATAATAAAGGCTAAATGTCTCGTCTGCCCTGCTGGAGGTCAAGGGGAATACCAGGTGGGCATCTTGTAACAGGCAGCTCCATCACTGGTAACATTATATTAACAATAACTTAATCTATTTTTTACCATTTAAAAAAAATTATAAATGTCAGAGGTGTAGTAATGTCACTGCACATATTTTGATAATTAGAACCATGACCTTATATAATATATGCAACCACAAGATACTTTTGTTAAATCATTACATAGGTTGTTAAAACTCAGTGTACAGAATGACAATAATGGGCCAGGACTTTAACGTATTCATTAGTTGGAAACATTTTAACATGTTGAAAATATTAATCCACTTAATTATATTTTCTTTTTTACATATTAAAATCCCAAACGGGAACCTTTGTATTTGCTGTTTCTTTTACACCCTAAAATCTGTATTGGGCAGGGTCAGGGGTTACGGTTATGGTGTAGAACTGAACTGAAGTCAATGGAAAGGCCCCCAAAAGATGGAGAGACAAGTTTGTGTGTGTGTGTGTATTTTATGGCTGTTAACAATTAATCACATCCAGATTAAATCTTTTGTTTTCAAACTAAATGAGTGTAATGTTATTAATAATTATTAATATATAAATACATATAAATGCATGTGTAATTAAATGATATTTGCCTGGATATCATACTACTATAAATCTAAAGTATGAAGATTCACTGTATAGATGTATGATGTATATTGTACACATATGTATAATGTAAACACAAACTTTCATTTTCAATGCAAACAATCATTCTACAGCCCTAAATATTCACCCACACACACTTTTCTTGCTATATGTAATAAGGATCATGTGTTGACTCCCATTGTTTTTCAGGCCTCTAAAGATAAGCCTAACCATTACCAGTGTATACCTCACCCTAACCCAACTGACCCCTTAACCCTAAAGCTAACCATTAGCAGAATATCTTGTGAGGAGCAGCTAAATGTCCTCACTCCAAAGGTTAAAAGCTGAAACTGGTCCGTACTCTCATTCTAAAATAGGAGTACATACACTGTCTGTATATATCATGATTAATAATGAAATATTTGTGGTTTCTACTTTGATAACGTGCATAAACTATACAACTATACAGCATAATTAAGTTTAAGAAAAAAAGATAATTTTTAAATGTTAACATTTGTATGAAACTGAACCGTTTTTCAAGATTTTAACAAGATCAGAGAAGCTGTTTACGGTCTGATCACTCACTTTACATTAGGGACCACATAGTTTGCCACAAAGGTTTCCTGGGAAAAGATGGCCACTGCTGATAATAGAAATACCATCATAAAACATCTAGCCTTTATTATGGGTTTCTATGCTGAGACAAACAGCAGGAGAGACAGAGAATTGGAGGAGAATCACATGGGTTCAATTAATATGTTCCTAAACTGGAAGCATCCACACTATCTTCCTCTGAGGTCAGGAAAAGAGTGAATGAACTTTTAATATTCTATTATTGAATTGTTGCAATTAAAGGTTTAGTGGAGGATGTTATTTTTCCGGGTTGGTCATCAAAATAAATTGTCTTCCTAATTGTCAATTATTCTGGTGATATGTTTACCAAAGGCCGTCCTACGTGCCTTTCCCCATTTTCACTGACCGGTGGTGAGTGTGACATAGTGGAAAAATTGCAAATCTTCTTTTGGAAAGTAAGCTTGTATGAGCGATGCAAGCTGCAACTTTTAAACACAGTGTGCACGAGGAGAAATGGGCTTGTGCTCTCGCACGCGTTTAATATATGTTCCCTATTATTTTTATTCTCAAAAAACTCTCCACTATACATGTAAATAACAGTAAAATCATTCAGATTCATCAAACCTTTAGATCAGGAAATTAACTTAATTCCTTACTTTGCCTGATAACTATTAGTCTGATAGGTCGGGTACTTTTCAGTAATCAGTGTTGGCAAGTAACAGAGTACATCTACTTGATTCATGTACTTAAGTACTATTTTACTATTTTTGAGTATCTTTACTTGATTTTTTTCAGGTAAAGATACTTTTTCAAGGAAAGATTTTGGGGGACGACAACTTATAACTTTCACTCCACAACATTTCAAAATCATATTGTACTTTCTACTCCACTGTATTTCTACGAAGCTGCTAGTTACTTGTTCCTTTTGGCTCATTGCTGTTTTTCTTTGTAAAAATGCAATGTCAACATGGTGGACAGCAGCCCTTAGGACTGAATCTAGACATCACTGCTTTAGAGTTTTGCATGACATTCCTCAAAAGTAAAAAAAATCAGGGCAGACATTTATAGTTAATACATTTTATTAGGTGATTGAGTGCGGTTTGTGTGTGGTATTAAATTAAATCATAAACCTGTATTCCATAGTAAAAGGTTTCACCTTTATTTGCCATTTTTTTGCTGAAGTTCTTTACCAGTGTTGTAGAATTTGCAGCAGAGCTTCTATGCATTAATCCATCAGGTGGTTTCTGATAGTTAAAGTTATTTTAATTACTCTGAAAATTATACAGAAATGTACTGATATTAGAACATTTCATTTGCATCTTTGAATACTGAAGTGCTTTTTAATGTGTGCACTTTTTAATACTTAGTATTAGAATTTTCTAAAATTGTACTAGATTTGTCTATGAGTATCAACACTTTTACTCAAGTACTACAGTTGAGTACTTCGTCCACCACTGTCGGTAATTGTTTGCTACACTGAGGTAGTTTGTCAAAGTAAGGTTTCCAACAACACTGACCAGTATTTTCAATTACTCTGCCAGTAGTTCCCACCTGGACGACGGTGTGGCTCTGAAAGAGGGCGTGGCCCTGAAAGAGGGCGTGGCCACGGAGGACGGTGTGTCTTTAAAAGGAATAAAAGAAAAAGAAGGTACTGGCCTCAATGCTCTCTAACCAATCAGAGGATTCGACATCAGAGTCAGCGCCAATGACAGCTGAACATCAACCAATCAGACAGTTTGACAATTTGAACCTTACAATCCAATCTGTAATCAATGAACAGGTGATGGATTGCAGATGAATCTGAAGAATATGAGCTAAAATAATGAATCATGTTTAATGTCTAGACTTAAAAGATTAATAAACTGAATGTGACAAACTGATTGTTGATCATCAATTACTGGTTGAAACTATTGTCAGCCTTTTAATAAAGCTGTTAATGACCTGTGAGTGATTTCTTTGTTTGTGGTTCTCAGACTATGTGTGCTGTCTGAACATGTGGCAGTTAGCATGGCCGCTAATCCTGCATTAAAAATGAGTTAAAACTTCGAACACAATGGAAGATTTTCTCCGTCTATGATGATGTTCCTCAGATCAGGAACACCCTGCAGCACTGTGTGCCTCTGCAGACGTAAGCAGAAACAAAAACAGAATGTGACCTGCAAAGGGGGGAACTTTTCAAGCAAGATGCACCAGAACACAGAATTGTCCACAATACTTTATTAAACAAATTCTTAAAAATAAAAAACATTTCTTTAAAACATTTCTTTTAAAGAAATGTTTTAAAGAAATGTCCTCAGTCTCTGGAAAGGGCTCATAGGAAATAAGGGCAATTTAACTTATTCCAAAAACATAAATGAACAAAACATGCAATGCAAAAGGAAACAAAGTAGTAATTTCAATAATAAGCAAAGGGTAAAAGGAAATAAAACAAGTACTTCAAACAATGGAACAAATTGTCACTGTCCAATATCATATGCCTTTCAATGGGGCCAGAGGAGTTATGCCCCGCTCGCTCAGCCTGTCCAAGCAGCAACTGGTTTTGTTGAGAGCTGCCCAAACACACCGTCAAAACAAGACAGCAGAGAATTCAAAGCACTGCAGCTCAAAGGCAACCCCAGGAGAGGAAACACAGCCTATCCAGCGAGAAGGCGGACTAGCAGGTAAGGACTAGATGGAAGCCGCTCGCCATAACAACCTCTCGCTGTAGCCGCTGTAGGTACCAGATTGACTCGGGCTGCCAGATTGACTCGGGGGCCCGCGCCTTTTGATGACGTCACAATACATAATTGTTTTAACGTTTGCACAATTGCGCAAAACATTTTGATTGGTCTGGACAGCTTACTAAAGTAATTATAGCGGGGTGTAGGTTTTATTCGAAAGCGGGATTGCTGTTTGTAAACGGACAATTTTACGAAGACATTCTCCATGGTCCCTGCGCCTTCTGATGACGTCACCGAATTCGCCATGGGCCTTGCGCCTCCCGATGACGTGACATTATGGCAATGCCACTCAAACAAACTACATTGAGCCCGCGGTCTGCATTTGTAACGAGAATAAATTCAGGAGAATGAAGCTAAAGGGATACAAAAAATAAACTTGTAATATTACAAAACCAAAAATACTACGAATACAAAGTATATTCAGAGATTAAAGTCCCTCTGATACTGTTTAAGTGACTGAGAAACTGCAGATTTGCCACATTTAAGATGGCGGACGCTCTGACGCATCTCAAAAGGCGCAGGCCCCCGAGTCAATCTGGCAGCCCGAGTCAATCTGGTACCTACACCGCCAACACCAGCACAGCAATGCTGCAGAAACACACAGCAGTAGTGATGGGCTATCTGAAGCCAGGCTTCGAGGCTTGTACCGAGTAATAAGGGGGCGTGTCAATGAAGCCCCGCTTCGAGGCCTGTGTTGTCTTGTTGAAAACCACGTGACTGGCAACAAACGAGGCCTCGCATTGCATTGGTCACGTGACTGCTTCATTTTGCGTGTTGGTTTTCAAAATAAAAGCGCGATGAATCCTGTTGCTTTGTGGGTTGTAGTAGGTGGTTTGGTCTCAGCAGAACAGTTTTCATCAGCAGTGGTTGTAATGGAGCCGTCAAAAAAGAGAAAAACCTCTCATATGTGGGAGTATTATAAGATGACAGATCACAACCTGAAACAGTGAAAAAAGTCATATTCCTAAATAAAAACAATTAAACCTAAAATCCAGAAATTTCTATATTTTCTTTTGTTTAATCAGGAGATGCATCAGAATCACACATCAAAACCAGACTAAAAGCCATTAGAAGAGGCAAACTCTATGTGTAACTTGATATTAAGAATCAGAACTAGAACTCCTAGGAAGAGATGATTTTAAACAAATTCTGTCTTTAAGGAAGCAAGTTTCAAGCTCAAAGTACACAGAGTCTGCAGCAACAGTCACTCAGTTCTCAATACATTAAAGTAACACATATCTTCATTGTCTAATAAGTCCATGTCATAAAAGAAAACCTAACGCCACCACTGATGGTCAAGGATTAGATTGGCTACAAATCATTTTAATCATTAAAACATGACAATTGAATAGGATTCTCCTCTTACTAAACATGAGTTTGATGAAAACTTTGTGACAATATTGCATTTCCTAATATTTGGAAGTATGATCCAACTGAGTAACAAGGCTGTTACAGTTTCACCAGCAGATGTCACTAGTGAGTGATGAATGAAGCATCGAGTAATGAACTTTTTTCAACACTTTGCGTTGGAAAGCTTCATTGCTTCGTGAGGCTTCACTTGCCCATCACTACACAGCAGGTATAGCACCAAAGGCCAACCCCAATCCCAGCCACAGATGGTACTTACGTTTTTAGATGAGCGGATCAAGCACACCAGCCACTTAGGCAGCCGACATGTAGGGGAAACAAAGACTCATGCACCTCGCAGAGGCCTGCTCCACTATAAAGCCAACTGCACCTCCTGCCAATCAACGGCTTGCTTCTTGCTACACCTGGTGCACAGAGTGGGGAGGGTGGAACACTTTCCCACAACAAGAACACTTGTTGCATTGAAGCACTTGAGCTTCATTTAGATTGACCTCTGCTGGAGAAGTGCGCAGCTGCAGTCTGGTTTAGAACAGAGGGACTGGGTGCCCTCATTCATCCATAAATGATGTTCATCCCTGCTGATCCCTGGCTCGGTGACTCCTCGGTGAAACAGTTTCATCTCGGGTAAAGACTATAGGATTACAGATGGTGTAATGTAACTAAATTAATTTCTCCCTGGGATTATTAAAGTATTTCTGATTCCTGGTTGATGGGACAGGAGTTGTAAATCAAATGGTGCCCCAGGTGAAAGAGCTTCTGTGTTTCGCTGAATGTGTGCATTGATGACGGAAAGACATCTTCTGCCTCCATTGATCTGTTTGCTACAGTCTGTTGAATTCATGTTAATGTGGATTTAAAGACATTTCAAGTAGTGGAAAAAATTGGAGGGGGGAATATAAAAAAAAAAAAACGTTGAATCAACCAAAACTTTTGCAACCCCCATGCAGTACCTCAGTGGACCCCCTAGGGGTCATGGACCCCCTGTTGGAGACCTCCACACTAGACAATGGGCCAGTGGCTGCGGGAGTGGGACTCTGAGAAGAGTGGAAGGCAGTATAACATTGTGCAGAGGACTAATAAAGGTTGAGACATCCGTTTGGGGCAGAAGCAGGTCAGCTTTACAAGATTAATTGATTGATATCTTAGATTACTCTGATTTTGTTTCTGATGTTGGATTCATTTTGTTTTTTTTTTACTTTTATAAGGCTTTTCACTCTTTAGAATACGGTTTTATATTTCGAAGTCTAGAAGAGTTTGGATTTGGAAAGCTCTTTATATCTATGATCATAACTTCATATGAAAACAACAAAAGCTCTATCAAATGAATGAATGGCTCCTCCTAGATTTAACATTTGCAGAGGAATCAGACAGGGGTGCTCTGTCCCTCCCCTACCTGTTTCTTCTGGTAGCTCAACTTCTAGCTGATCATATTGAAACCAGTCCTCTGAAAGGATTAACTGTTGCTGAAAAAGAACTGGCTGTTGACTCTGCCCTGTTCTTAAAGGACAAGAATCTAATTTCTGTAGCGATCCAAGTAATGAATAATCTCTAAAAAGGCTTCTGGTTTGCATTTGATACTTAAAAATGTGAGATTATTTAAAGATTGCGCAGATATCAATTAAAGGCATTACAGTTAAAAATGAGGCTGTTTATTTAGGTATAACCATAAAAAAGAACTAAAATATCAAAGCTTATTACATTTTGATCCTCTAATCTAAAAGGTAAAAAAAAAGATGTAAGCATTGGTTATTAAGGGATCCCTGGCTCGTATTTTAGCAAGGCTGAAGGTTAACTTAGGATTTAGATTTTGACAAAAATGCTGAAAAAGAAAATGAGAAATTGCTCTTTAACTTTGTTTGGAAGAGTGGGACCCATTACATTCGAAAATCTATTTTAATTAACTCATTTGAAAATCAAGGGGCTTAACTTCTTTCTGTCTCTACCTTTGTAGTTTGTTTTGATTAGTTTGGATTGTTTCTGTGTATGTATATAGGTATATATGTATATGTATATATGTATGTGTATATGTGTGTATTTATATATGTATATGTATAGACTATGGGAGATGTTGTTTTAATGTCCACATAATTTTATTTCATTTGTAATTTTTTATTTCATGTTTTGTTGTTGGGCCCCAGGAAGAATAGCTGTAGCTTGCTACAGCTTGTGGGGATCCTAAATAAACTAAACTAAACTACCTTAAAGAACACTTAAAAGATGAGATTAAGATTTGCCTTTTTTTGTTTACATCTCAGACTTCTATATGTAAAATTATCCCTCATCACATTTTTTTCAAAAATTGGAGGATTAGCCTTTGTCTTGTTGTCTCGTTTTCATCGCCAGGCTTTTCTATCATGGTCACTTATTTACAAGCACTTTTCACCTCATCTGTATTTCATTTGGACAATGAGGACATCCTGTACAAGAACATAAACTTTTTTTTTGGAGTCATAAGATTATTCTGCTTGATCAACTGTTTGTTTATTGAATTATGAGGGATTTCTCTCTAAATTCAACCTTCCTATCTCTTCTGGAGAATACAAGGCCTTTAAATCTATTTTCTGACTGGGATTTGCATGTTAATCAGACAGAGGCCAAGACTCAAATCATCTTCATCTCCTACTCTGACTCCCATGGACTCTCCTGTTGGCAGAATTTGTCTCACCTCGTCCCTTCGTAAAAAGAGTAAATCAATCAGATCCCTCTTTCAGAGAGAAGTGCTGCTGTTGTAGCATACTGGAACCGCTTTGTGACTGATGTGTCATGGAAACATACTTGGTTCTTACCTTATTACTCTTTTCTCATTAAAAAGGCGAAGGAACTTTCATACAAACTCACTCAGAGGATCCATCCTGCCATAGACTATCTTAAAAAGTTCAATTCTAAAATGATTGTGAACTGCACTTTTGGTGATCTTCATCCAGAATCTGTAACACATTTTTTCTGATTGTGTCCATATGCTAAGACTTTCAGGCCACACCTTTGTAACTATGTGGATTAAAATATATTAAAAGATATTCAACTTCTAGGCGAAAATATTCTATTTGGTTTTCAGTTGCAAAGTAAAATTTATCCCAAAATCTTCCTTCTCAATCTCTTAATTATCATTAGCATAAATACAAATATCTATCTAAATAAAAGGCCAGATTTCATTGTTTACTTAACTGAACTTAAGCAATATTTTTGTGCTATTTGATCCTCCACTCGCCAAAAGGCAAAAAAAGCCATATCAATCTGTTCCCAACTCAAAATTCTGGACAAGTTTTAGAAGATATGTTTAGTAGAATATAGGTATCTGACATGTTTATCATTTTATTCTTTCTTTTCTCCTGACTTTAAATACTTATTTATTGTGGCATACCCCCTAGCAATTTGTTATTTTTTTACATTTTTGTTGCACTTGTTTATTCTTTAATTGAAATAAAGATAAAACAACAAAAAACAAAAATAAACAAAACGGCTCTACTTGGACCAAGGGTCACGTGACCCGCTCGAGCTCTCGGTGGGTTTCAGGGAGGGAAGCTCCGACCACTTGGCCGCAGGCTTCACCGGCTGACATACGATGCGGAGCCACCGAGTCTGACTGAATCAGCCAATCATGGACGTCATTCTGATGACTCTCATTAATTGACAGCGATTCTGGCCAATCAGAGGAGCCCTTGGCAGGAGGCCGCGGAGCAGGAAGGCGGGGCTTCACCGCCACTCAGTAGATCAGCGAAACAAAATGGCGGCCGTGGCTGCTGAGGCAGGAGCAGTGGTTCCGACCACAGCACGGTCCGAGAATCCGCCAGAACCGGGCCTGGACAGCACCGGACGCCACCAGGTCCCAGCGGAGCCCAGCTGTGCTCCAGAATCCGGTTCGAGTGGGAATCCAGAGAACGGAGAATTTGCGGAGGGCCGCCATGTTGGTCCGGAGCAGAAGCCCGGGGCGGGACCGGATTTACCCGGGACGGACAGAACCTCCGAGGGTCAGCTGGACCGTAGTGGGACCTCTGATGATGTACCGGACCGGAGTAGCGTACCCCCGAACCAAGCCCCGAGCTTGGAGCTTTCGGAGCTCCCTGTGGACTGCAGCGGCTCTGAACGGGTCTTTCTGGGACTGCCGAACTCAGACGGTACCAGCAGCTATCGAACCATCCCTTTGGACCCGCAGCCCCCTGCGGTTTTCCTGCACTCGGTTCCGGACCCTGCTCCGGTCTCTGAGGCCGGGCTTTCTTTAGCTGAACCGGCAGAACCTACTGAGACCACCGAACTGGACCGGTGCTACACCATTTTGGATCAGGAACTTGGATCCAGACCTAAGCAGGAATCTGGTTCGGAAGGGGTTCCGGAACCAGCTGCCAAGTTCTGTAAGACATCAGCAGGCTCTAAACACGAAGACTGCTCCGGATCGGTACCGAGTTCTGTGCTGGACCTAAGTCCTGGTACCGAGGTCCGAGTCAGCCTGGAGCACGTGATCGATGACGCGCTGGTGGTGTCGTTCCGCCTGGGGGAGCAGGTCTTCTCAGGGGTTCTGATGGACGTGTCCAAAAGGTACCAGTTGAGCCCAGATCTTTCCAATCTCCAGCACTTACAGATGGTTCTGGACCGCAAACCGAGTCACAGTAGGGGTGTCTGGTTCTGATCTGTGACCTGCAGTCAGTGATTGGTTCTGAACAGTTTGGATCCAGCTGCTATCAGAACTCGAAGCCCAGTCCAGATGGTTCTGGACCGCAAACCGATTCACAGTATGGGTGTCTGGTTCTGATCTGTGACCTGCAGTCAGTGATTGGTTCTGAACAGTTTGGATCCAGCTGCTATCAGAACTCGAAGCCCAGTCCAGATGGTTCTGGACCGCAAACCGAGTCACAGTAGGGGTGTCTGGTTCTGATCTGTGACCTGCAGTCAGTGATTGGTTCTGAACAGTTTGGATCCAGCTGCTATCAGAACTCGAAGCCCAGTCCAGATGGTTCTGGACCGCAAACCGATTCACAGTATGGGTGTCTGGTTCTTATCTGTGACCTAGAGTCAGTGGTTGGTTCTGAACAGTTTGGATCCAGCTGCTATCAGAACTTAGAGCCCAGTCCAGATGGTTCTGATGGGATCAGCTCTGGCTTCCTTCATCCATCGTTCCCCTTGCTGGCTGATCCCTGTGGTTCTGGTGATCTCAGCTTCCTCTGTGAACTTCTGGAAACCGGGACTGTGGTTCCAGAACTTAGTTTGGATCTTTGAAAAGTCCAACTCCAACTTTAGGGAATCGGTGGAGTCCAGCAGGTTCCGGTAACAGAAAGTTCTGGTACCATAATCAGAGTGTTTCTCTGGGTTCTGTCAGTCCTCTAGGATCATTTCAGTGTAGAGACTGGTTTGGGTTTCAGAGGAACGGTTCTGGTCCAGTTCTTTCTGGCAGTGGTTCTAGAGATCTAGGCACTTCTGTTCTATGGTTGCCAGGATCACTCAGTAGCAACTGGTTCTGATCCATATCTGGGTCCACATGTTATTAGCAATGACGACGTCTTCAGTCAGTATCCGGTATCTGCAAATAGTTCAGCCCAGTTGAGGTCGGACTGGTTCAGTAAAACTGGGTCAGTACCAGTCAGTGTGGTTCACACCAATTCTAGAACTGGTCTTTGTAGAAAAGCTTCTTATCCTTCAGAGGCAACATCTTTTCATTCTGGTTCCTTCTCCCTCTGTCTTTGACTTTGGTTCGTTCTTAAACTGGAACCAGAGACCTTTGGGGCTTCAGCCCAAGAGTAAAAGTTCATCTGGTTCCATTTCTATAGATTTGTTTATTTTTAATCTGCTTCTATCTCTATAGGTCTGTTTCATTTTTATCAGGTTCTATCTCTATAGATCTTTCTTTATTATCTTTCACCATCTCTATAAATCTGTGTATTTTATCAGGCTCTATTTAAATAGATCTGTTTCTTTTTCATCTGGCACCAACTCTATATATTTGTTTCTATTAATCTGTCTCTATCTCTAGATCGGTTTTTATCTAGCTCTATCTCTATAGATCTGTTTCTTGTATCGCAATCTATCTCCATAGGTCTGTTTTTGATTTTAGTTTTTTTTAATCGGTTGTATCTCTATAAATGTAGTTCTGTTTTTACATCTGATTCTATCTCTATAGAATTCTATCAATCTTTTATCTGGCTCTATCTATATATCTATTTCTTATATTGCACTCTATCACTAAATCTGTTTATAAATCTCGTTCTATCTCTATAGATCTGTTTCTTTTATCAGGCTCTATATCTATAGATCCGTTTTGAAATCTGGTGCTATCTCTAGACCCTTTTATCTTTCTCTCTGTAAAGATCTGTTATATCATGCTCTATCTCTATAGATTTTTTTATCTAGTTCTATCTGTATACAGGTGCTGGTCATAAAATTAGAATATCATGAAAAAGTAGATTGATTTCAGTAATTCCATTTAAAAAGTGAAACTTGTATATTATATTCATACATTACATACAAACTCATATATTTCAGATGTTTATTTTGTTTAATTTTGATGATTACAAATGACAACAAATGAAAATCTCAAATTCATCATATCAGAAAATTAGAATATTACTGAAGACCAATAAAAACAAAGGATTTATAGAAATGTTGGCCAACTGAAAAGTATGAACATGAAAAGTATGAGCATGTACAGCACTCAGTATTTAGTTGGGCCTCCTTTGGCCTGTATTACTGCAGCAATGCGGCGTGGCATGGAGTCGATCAGTCTGTGGCACTGCTCAGGTGTTATGATAGCCCAGGTTGCTCTAATAGTGGCTTTTAGCTCTTCTGAATTGTTGGGTCTGGTGTATTGCATCTTCTTCTTCACAATACCCCATAGATTTTCTATGGGGTTAAGGTCAGGAGAGTTTGCTGGCCAATTAAGAACAGGGATACCATGGTCCTTCAACCAGGTACTGGTAGCTTTGGCACTGTGTGCAGGTGCCAAGTCCTGTTGGAAAATGAAATCTGCATCTCCAAAAAGTTGGTCAGCTGCAGGAAGCATGAAGTGCTCTAAAACTTCCTGGTATGTGGCTGCGTTGACCCTGGACCTCAGAAAACACAATGGACCAACACCAGCAGATGACATGGCACCCCAAACCATCACTGACTGTGGAAACTTTACACTGGACTTCAAGCAACGTGGATGAAGTGCCTCTCTTCTTTTCCTCCAGACTCTGGGACCTTGATTTCCAAAGGAAATGCAAAATTTACTTTCATCAGAGAACATGACTTTGGACCACTCACCAGCAGTCCAGTCCTGTTTCTCTTTAGCCCAGGCAAGATGCTTCTGACGCTGTCTGTGGTTCAAGAGTGGCTTGACACAAGGAATGCGACAGCAGAAACCCATGTCTTTCATACGTCTGTGTGTGGTGGTTCTTGAAGCACTCACTCCAGCTGCAGTCCACTCTTTGTGAATCTCCCCCACATTTTTGAATGGGTTTTGTTTCACAATCCTCTCCAGGGTGCGGTTATCTCTCTTGCTTGTACACTTTTTTCGACCACATCTTTTCCTTCCCTTCGCCTCTCTATTAATGTGCTTGGACACTGAGCTCTGTGAACAGCCAGCCTCTTTAGCGATGACCTTTTGTGTCTTGCCCTCCTTGTGCAAGGTGTCGATGGTCGTCTTTTGGACAACTGTCAAGTCAGCAGTCTTCCCCATGATTGTGTAGCCTATAGAACTAGACTGAAAGACCATTTAAAGGCTTTTGCAGGTGGTTTGAGTTAATTAGCTGATTAGAGTGTGGCACCAGGGGCCATCAATTTTGAACCTTTTCACAATATTCTAATTTTCTGATATGATGAATTTGAGATTTTCATTTGTTGTCATTTGTAATCATCAAAATTAAACAAAATGAACATCTGAAATATATGAGTTTGTATGTAATGTATGAATATAATATACAAGTTTCACTTTTTAAATGGAATTACTGAAATCAATCCACTTTTTCATGATATTCTAATTTTATGACCAGCACCTGTAGATCTATTTTTTTTTATCTGGCTCTATCTTTATAGCTCTGTTTCTTATATCCCGCTCTATATGGTAATCCTGACGGTGTTTCTCCCACTGCAGCAGTGAAAAGGAAACATGAGGCAGATTCAGCATAATGTTATGGCCAAAAACGATCCACCATCCTAAAGTGCAGCGTGAAGATGAAATAAATGGGTTTCTATTTATTTAGAAGATATTTAGCATATATATGCATTGATCTGAGGTAAGAATATATTAAGCTGTGCAGGAAACCTTAAAAGTTTTTTCCATCCTACAAAAACAAATTCTTCCTTAAACCCCACAGTAAAGTTAGGAAAACAAGAGATAATGCAAGATAGAGCCGCTGAAGCAACAGCTAGGAAGACAATTGGTAGAAAATGAAAGAAACATATTAATCTGAGGTATGATTAGAACATAAACCTGTAGTCATTAACTAATAATTCCCCCCCCCCCCCCCCCCCCCCCCAAAAAAAAAAGCGTATAAGTGAATTTCAGCCATTGGAACACCAATTTATAGGCCACGCAAGTCGTTACTATGCAGTTTTTTTACCCTTCCTGTAGTAGCGGCATATGATGCCATGCTATCAATAAATCTGTTTTTATTTATCTATCTCTATATATCTAGGCTTGGTTCTTCATAGAAAATCGTCCTTATTGCGCTCCGTGGAAGTGGAGATATCTGTAGCATGACTGAATCTTTTTTCTCTTGACTTTTCAAATTCCCCCATTTATACCCGTCTAAACTGTCATCTAGATCATGGCAACCAAAAAAACAGGCTTCAATTGGAGTCAGCCGGACTTTTACTTAGTTTTCTGAAGTTTTCCTCGCCCCTCTAGGAGTCTGATTCTGTCGGCTCCACCAGATCAGTCTGTGGTTTGAGCTCTGGTGTATTTAAGCAGCATGGAGGTCCATCCTCCTGAGCAAACTCCAGTCAGATGCTTTTCAAATATCTGGTCTTCAAAGGTGTGTCATCTTTCTTGAGGTCCAGATAGATTTTTCCAAGATTCTCTTGCTCTCCTATCCTGCTCCATGCGTTTGTTAGTTGTATAGGAGGCTGTACAGTTCATGGTGCACTGGATCGCGTCAACAACGGCACTAAGCTGAGGTTTGGCTGTTCTGTCTTTAGGATGAACCAGTTTCTGTCTGAGTGTTTTTAGTTTTGAAATTCACCGCTATGTTGCATCTGGAGAAATGAGTTGCTGATATTCGTGACGTGTACGGAATTACAATGTTTCCGCGTCTCTCTGTTTCTCCTCTGTGTTGCATTCAGAGCCGTTCTTCCTGTTGGGCGTTTGGATAACTACATGCTTCATGAGCTTAGCTAGTGCTTGGTGTTAATGCAGCAGAAAATATGATCAAATCACAATTCTGCTCATGATAACAAACATATTTTGATTTATACCTAAACTGCACAGTCTGACTATAAAACACCGCCGTATCGACTGCTCTCCTATTGGCTGAGATCAGGCCTGAGATTCGTTATGTCTGTGTGACACATGGCTAACTTTGCTAACAGTTAGCAACAGAGTATAGCGCTGCCAGGTCCTATCCACTGGTTGGAGCTATGTGGAGACTTGTAGACAAAGATCATATTTGCCAGGAGCCATGCTCGGGACACAACAAGCATGGAAGGAGGCTCTATCTCTGTAAATCTTTATTTTTTTTTATCAGGTTCTATCTGTATAGATCTTTTTCTTTGTTTGTTTTTTTTTTTTTTTATCAGGCACAATCTTTAAAGATCTTCTGTTTAAAATCTGGCTCTTTATCAGACTTGGACAGATTTTATTTTGTTATTTTGTACACACTAGTGTAAACCAAGCACAGCTCTCTGCGCTGTTTCTAGATGATTATTTATCTCTATAGGTCTGTTTTTTGTTTTTTTGTTTGTGCCTGATTGAAAAATAAAAACAATCTTTATAGATATTTTTTAATCTGGCTCTTTATCTCTATAGATCTGTTTTTTAAATCTGTCTATCTCTAGATCTGTTTTTTTTAAATCTGTCTATCTCTATAGATCTGTCTGTTTTTTTTATCTGGCTCTTTATCTCTATAGATCTGTTTTTTTAAATCTGGCTCATTATCTCTATAGATCTGTTTTTTTTAATCTGGCTCATTATCTCTATAGATCTGTTTTTTAAAATCTGGCTCATTATCTCTATAGATCTTTTTATTTTATCTGGCTCTATCTCTATAGATCTGTTTGTCATCCAAATACTTTGTGTAGCATAGAACAAACATTCCAGAGGAGTCTGAATAGAGCATCCCCAGCATGCAATGTGCTGGAACGGTTTAAAGCTAAATATTTGGTTAGGAACCCAACCACCGTGATCTGCTGTGTTCCAAAGCATCTAGCATTTTTATTAGAGCAGTGCCGATGATCAGCGTCTGAAAGTTTCCGTCTGTGTGTCTGCAGGTTTGGACCCTACGGTATACCCATCACCACTTTTCCCAGACGAGATGACCGCAGCTGTCCGCCAGCACCTCTGCAGACGATTGCCGTCGACGACAAGCCAACCACCAACCAGGAAGAGGCTTCTGCTGTTTCCGTCGCCCCCTCCCACCCCCAGCCCTGGGGCTCCAAGCCACCGCCGCTGTTCCAGGAGGGGGCGCCGTACCCTCCCCCTCTATTCATCAGAGACACTTACAACCTGGCCTTACCTCAGCCGCCACCACGCAAGATCAAACGCCCAAAGCGTCGCTACCGCTGCGAGGAGCCCACTTCAATCATGAACTCCATCAAGCTCCGCCCCCGGCAGGTTCTGTGTGACAAATGTAAAGGTGTTGTGGCTTCAGGGAGCCACAGAGAGGCCCGGCGAGGTGTGGTGGAGCTGAAGGCTGAGGAGGCGTCACGTCGACGGCGGCCACCAGATGTTCCAATGTCCTCTGAGTTGAAACGTCTGAAGATTGACGACAGGTCAGGACGTTCTGCCGCTGACAAGCGTACATCAGGGACACAGGTGACTTCCTCTTCCCGCCGTGTCCTGAGGGGTGTGGTTCCATCCTCATCCTCAGCAGATTCCTCCAGCCGGATGCGCCTGAAGTTAAACTCTAAGAAGGTTCTAACAAAAAGTTCGGACCGCCCCACCACCCGCAAGGTTCTCCAGAAGTTGGCCCCGCACCACCGGCCCAAAGACCAGAACCAGGACCACAGAAAGGCAGTGACCCGGGCTGCCGCTCTGCAAAACCACAATCAGAAGGTCCACTTTACTCGTCGCCTGCAGCACCTGAGCGGCACCAACATAAGCACGCCACTGCCGCCCAGAATGCGCCTCAAACCTCAAAGGTACCGTACCGATGAGCCAGCCCCATGCTCCGCCTCCGAGGCATCGCCCAAACCTGCCACAAGCCCCGTCCACACACCTGCATCTCCTGCCACAGGTCCTCCCACAGCCCCGCCTCCCCCATGTGCAGCCCCCACTGTCGTAGAAAGGAACGAGGACGAAGGAGCTGGCTGGCAGGAGGTGGAGCCTCCCCCGCCTTCGTCCTCCTCTTACTCCTTAGACTCCTCCCACTCAGAGTGCAGCTCCACAGAGACTTATGACGTCCCTCCTCCTGGAGAGCCGGCGTCCTCTTCCTCTGGCCCCGCCCCTGCGCCTCCTCCATCCTCCACCACGGCAGTCCCTTGCTGCCCCGCATCTTCATCCCCGGCTCCACCTGCAGCCGAAGGTGAGGATGAGGAGGATGGAGGTGACATAAAGCGACGTAGGAAGTTGTCCACTTCCTCCTCCTCCTCGTCTTCATCCTCCTCATCTGTCTTCTCCAAATCCGTGTCAAAGTGTTTATTGCCGGACGGCCGCACCGTGTGTGTCGGCGACATCGTCTGGGCAAAGATTTACGGCTTCCCCTGGTGGCCGGCACGCGTCCTGGGTATCACTGTGGCCCGCCGCGGTGACACAGGCCTGGCGGTACGGCAGGAGGCGCGCGTCTCCTGGTTCGGCTCCCCTACCACATCCTTTCTGCCGCTTTCTCAGCTCTCACCCTTCCTTGAGACATTTCAGTCGCGCTTTGACAAGAAGAGGAAGGGGCCATACCGCCGCGCCATCGCTGAGGCCGCCAGCGCGGCCAAACAGCTCACCCCCGAGGTCCGTGCGCTTCTCACGCAGTTCGAGACGTAACATAGGCCCTGCCCCTATAAAAGAGTTCCCACCCCCCCCTACACATGAACTGGGAGGAGCCAAAACCCAGACTAATGGACCGTGGATAGGTGGGAGGAGCCTCAGATGGCAGGGGGCGGTGCTTGTATCTTCCACAGCATTTCCATTGCCGCTCATTCTGTTGGCTAATGTCATCTTTGTGTCGAGTCGTTCCTTTAACTTATCGATTTATCAGGATTTTGTGAGCTATGATTGGCTGACACAGGTGAAATAATGATTACATCACAGCTCTGCCAGTTAGAAACACTAATCATTCATCTGTCTCTATGAAGCCAGGGTTTTATTATGACTATGCTGCGGCGCCCCCTGCGGGGCGGCTCGGTCCGACCCAAGCAGGCTATGATGACTCTGACATCATTTCCTGTTGCGTTTTGACTGAAAATATTTGTACTTTCTGTTGAAGTTCTGTTCGATGTTTAACTGTGAAACTGAGCGAGGTCCAGACTGAGGCTGGGTTCCAGAACACGGTGGAGATCAGAGTCGCATGCCAGGTGTGCCGTTATCATCATTATCATAGCTGCTCTTCCATTGGCCCCCACCAGTTTATTCATCGGTCTGGGTCTCCGTAGACTCCGCTTCCTGTTGATTGGGTCTCTGGGTTCTGATCCCTGAGAATATTTCCAAACTCCTGGATCTTGGTCAGAGACGTTTCGTGCAGACGATGACCTGACCTCTCATGCTACGTTCAGACCACAAGCGCTAGAAGCAGAAAAAAAGCGCCTCTTTTTAGATGTTTGTCCACATTAAGGTCCGACGCGCCTCAAGTGCATCATTGATGCTCCTGAAGCGTGTCCAGTAAAGTGTGTCCAGATGCGTCTGATGCTTCACTGGAAAAACGATCTAGAAATAAGTAAAAATGTCTTAAATTAAGTGTTTTTACCCCTAATTTGAGTAGGTAAATGGAATATTTTTACTCTTAAAATAAGATATTTAGATAAAATAAGACCAATTGCGTTTTCTTATTATAAATTTAAATTGTCTTGTTCCATTGGCAAAATATATATTTTACCTCCTCAATTCAAGAACAAATACTTGGCAGAGAGCGGCTTTGCTATATTTGCTGTTATCAGTGGGTAAAAAGTAGTTTTAATGTGTTTTTAAGTGAGAAAGTCCAATTAAAAACATCTGTGCACTCAGTTCATCAAGATTGTGACCCCACCTTCAAATATTATTTTGCTGTCGGACCGCTGCTGAAAAAAATAATGCAACCGTTTTTTTGGCATTTACTTAGTCATATTTAGTTACTTTAACACAATTGTTTCATGTTAGTAGGGTAGGACATAAAAAAATTGTGTTAAAGTACCTAAATATGCCAAAAAAGGTTGCATTATTTTTTTTTTTTCAGTGAAGATACACTGCTCCTACTGCTCGAAAAGGACCTTTTGATGGGCGTCACCCATTGACTTTGCATGTAAACGGGCTGCTTCAGCAGCGTGCGGTCTGAACGTAGCATCACACTCCGTGTTTGGAAGCCCTGAGCCTGAGTCGGTGGACCGTGGGACAGGTAGGACACACTGACTGTTAGACAGACGAGGATGATGAGGGTGGATTTCTCTCTGCTGTTTCTGTCGGACTCTTTTTACCGTCTGTTTGCGGGTCAGAGGTTCTGAACCAGTGTACATGTTTTTCTCCTGTTTTGAATCTGTTAATAAACTCTCAAACTGCTCTTTGAATCCTCGTGGGCGTCGTCTTTTTACTCTCCCTCTGTGCTGTTAAACGCTGGAGTGCTGCCGGTGCCTTGCACAGCAGCACATTGGCTGCAGCTCTCAGACTCTCACCTGCTAACAGATGTTTGGTAAACAGGTCTGCAGAGCTGCAGAGAGAAAACAACAGCAGGCCTGGGCTAAACACCCGACCCGTCACCTTTTTTGATGGTAAAAAGTCTTCATGGCCCTCAGAGCTCCAGATCTTCAAAGTCCTCCAACCAGCGTTAGCTTAGGGAAAGTAATCACGCCCCACAGCTGCTGGTTCTCTGACATCTACAGAGTTTGGGCCTTATCTGTTCTTCTTTTTAAGGTCCTCCAGCCGACTTGACTACGCCACTCCAACAACTGACCTGGTTCTGTTTCGGATAATTTTCCTGTAGAACCAAAGACGGCTTAAGCTGAAGGTAATGGCCTGATGGTCGGGCTTTTTCCTACAAGATCTAAGAACCAGTGTTTCTGGTCCCAAAGCAGCCAAGACCATTACTCCACTGCATTCATGCTTAATGCAGCCATGACTTCCTGGTTCTAAAATGTTAATTGTTCTGATGTACCATGAGACACTGTCCCGAGAAGTCCAGTCTCATCAGTTCACAGCAGCCTTTAGGACCAGCCAGATGTTTTTATTTCCTCCTCAGAACCAAATCACTCCTTTAAGAAAGTCGGTTCTACCAGACTACCAGAACATTGGGCTGTTTCATCCAAAACACTGATCTAGTAAATACAGTGGGCTGTTAGATGTTTCCTCAGGTTTTTTTTAAATCTCTCATAACTTCATTACGATGATCTGTGGAAAAAAGGGAAACATTTTCCCACCTGAATGGAGGAAGAAGGCAGGGGGGAGGAGCTTAAGACTGAGCACAGGTGTGACTGGTCCGTTCAGATTTACCATCGGTAACGCCCGGTTCTGCCCGGGGGCCTTCAGCTAATAACCCAATGATCTGTGAATGAATTGTAAACAGGACTTTCTGTCTCTCTGCAGCGCACCGCTGAAGAGCTGCTGACGCTGGGAGTCCTGCGCAGCCATTGGCTATGACGCTGTGGGCGGGGTCTGAGCATGTGGACATAAATCACATGGACATCGGGAATCAAAATTTAAATGAAGAGTGTATATTTATGATGAGGAAATAATTACTGGAACTTATTGTTTCTGTGGATACCGGGTTCAGGTTGAGTCGTCCAATCAGGACCTCGATCAACGAAGAGTTGGGCCTTTAGAGCTGATCTCACACGCCTGTTTAGTCTGGAACCTGGTCAGGAGGTGACATCAGGATCAGAAGCTTCTGGAGGCTCCTCAGGTTTTACAGCAATGTTTCTGCTTGGATAAAACAACAGAATAAAAACAGAAATGTCTGAAAGGGTTCAAGTCTGCAAAGGGACCTCTGATTGGCTGAACTCGCTAGCTCGGGTCGATGAACATCCTCTGGGGGCCCCTGGTATCCTCGGGTCACACCTCGGTGTCGACTAGGCCAGGGGGGTCTTCAGCCTTTGGCCACTCCTGTCTCCAACAGCGTCAAATAAGTTAAAGTCTGGATTATCAATATGGCAGTAAAGTCCTGTATGTTATATCTGCTTAAAATATCTATGCTAGCAGGGCAGCAGTGATCCAAGGCTTCAAAGGTGACCTTGCGTTTGTTTTCACACTGCACAAATGATCTAGAAATAAGTAAAAATTTCTTAAATTAAGTGTATTTACGCTTAATTTGAGTAGGTAAATAAGATGATTTTCCAATGGAATGAGTATTTTTACTATTAAAAGTAGATATTTATATAAAAATGCACTTGAAATAAGACAATTCAATTGTGTTTTCTTATTTTAAATGTAAGTTGACTTGTTCCATTGGCAAAATGTCTTTTACCATCTCGATTCAAGTACAAGTGCACTTATTTTAAGAAAAATATTTTGACTAGATTTTGATTCTTTCCAGTGCAGCTGGAGGTGTGACCTGTGTGTGTTTATACCAGCTGACTCTGTTTCATTCATTCTACAAAATCTTTGCTTTCTTCTTGTAAAGGCTTTTCTTCTAAATTCATAAAACAGAAATTATTTATTTCTGAATTATTCACTATTTATAAAATCATTTGATGCTCTTTATTTATTTAGTGGTTCTTTGGATGAAAAGGTTGCTGCTCTTGTTAGTCATAAGCGACCCGTCTGCAGTCACATCGAGGCGATCCAAACCAGAGGCTTCAGACTTTTCCCCCTGTGGGTAAAATCCTTCTTAGCCTCCTATGATTAGCAGATGTTAACGAGGCAGATAGAAAGCTCAGAAAACTGTATTTCATTGCATCCCGTGAGTGCAGCAGTTACTAAGCTGGTTGCTGTTTTATAAACATAATTCATAAATACAGTCGCTTCCTGAAGTCTGTTTTCTGTTCAACTCGATTCTCCAGGCTAATGCTAGTTTAGCATTCACAGCAGTAAAAGAACTGGTCCTTAAATATGTGGGTCGACCCTTTAAATGCCAAATGCACAGTTCTGATTAGAGATGCATGGAGCAGGATTTTGGGAGCATCAAATCTATAAATCCTCCAATGAGTCGATGCAAGTTAATTGGTTTTCCTTAGATAGAAAACTTTGTTCCAATTTGACTTAGACAGATTTATTTAGTCATTTTGTATACAGTGTAAGCAAAAAGAAATTTCACTTAAAACAGCTCTAGACAATTTCATTTTTCAAAGTGCAGCCTTGAAAAACAGTAATAAATACATAAAAAAAATAGTAATATAAACATATTGACTGTATATTTACAGTTTTTACATTTTTTTTTATATATATAACTAAAATAACCCATTTTACAAAACATTCAGGAGTCTAATGGCAGTGGGGAAGAAACTGTTCTGGAATCTTATGGACCTGCATCGGATGCTACGAAGCGTCTTCCCAGAGGGCAGCAGGGAGAACAGTTCATGGTGGGGGTGTGAGGGGTCATTGATGACACGCAGCGCTGGGATTAAATGTCTTATATGGAGGGAAGAGGAGCCCCAATGATCCTCTATACTCTTCTTACTACTCTTCTCAATTTCCAGTCTGAGGCGCTGCAGCCTCCACACCACACAGTGAGACAGCTGGTCAGAACGCTCTCTATGGTGCTTCTGTAGAAGGTGGTGAGAATGGGTGGGGGCAGGTGGGCTCTCCTCATCCTCTGCAAGACGTACAAGTGCTTCTGTGCCCTTTTGACCAGTGTGGATGTGTTTACATTCCAGGTGATGTGCACCCCCAGGAATTTGGTGCTACTGACCACCTCTACAGCTGAGCTCTTGATGACCAGTGGAGCGTGGTTCTTCCTGAAGTCCAA